TATTTCTTACCATACGACTTAAGTGCAAAGTAGTCGTCCAGGTCTCGCATAAGCATTCTTGGTTACAGCGGTGACTTCTCGCATTCCTTCTCCAATCTGTCATAAGAGATGAGAGTGGAGATCCCATCGTTAATCCTAATATTTGCACATATATATTGCAGTTGGATGCAGAATGTGGTACTTACTATCAGGTTGATTAATCGAGTTAACGACTCCTTCTGTAGCCACTCTGCATCCAGGATATCCTCCTCACATTCCAAGACTTCCAGCAGGGTGATAACTGGCTTCTCATCTGATATGTTTGTGTACATTTGTGTACGTGAAAACACACCAGTCGGACCATGGACTTGGTACATTCGCAGATGTCTTGCAGGCATCGTCAGTGAATCTTGCCAGATAAGCAACATACCATTACGATCCTGAAGAAAGAATTTAAATATTCTATTCAAAATAGCATATATCTTGTAGAAGAGATTCTGGTGGATGTCATTAACAACTACGAGAAGGTCCCTGAGGAGAAAAACGGGAAAAAGAGGAGGAAATAATCCATAGAATTTTGATACATTATGAATCAACGCAAATAAACAGATTTGCGAGAATACTAAGAAACCTGGAAATGAATGAACAATTAGATCTTCAGAAAAACAAAAGAGTTGTAATGGACAGAAAAAAGGATACAGAGACAAGACTACGTATCGTTTACAAAAGTAGGACCTAAATAAAAGCATCAATGAAACCTTACAGAACATGCTCCAAAATATGCATAAGAACGAGAAGATCAATGGATGGACAATAAATTCACTTATAAGAAAGACGCACGATCACCAACAGTGTACCTATTATTGAAGCTAAATAACAAGGAGAGCCATTAAGACTAATTGTGTGGAGCAACAGAAAACTAGCCAAGTTCATATGCCTGGAACTCAAGAAGGTAAAGGACAGAAAGTCAAAAACATGGAAGCACTGATATGAATTTTCTCGGAGGATCAAAAACAAAACACTGGAAGAAACAGAATTACTATGTAATATGAGATGTATTCACCCATTTTCGTCTAATGTGATGAAAGACTGGTAGAAGAATTTTCCCACAATGATATGAGTAGAGCTGACGTTTCCATTAAATTTCATATAGCCTTGCTTTCCCAAAGTTAAGGATGCGCAAAACTATCTATGTACTGAGATGTATTCACCCTATTTCGTCTAAGGTGATGAAGGACTGGTAGTAGAATTTTTCCACAATGATGAGTTGAGCTGACGTTTCCCTTTAATTTCACCTAGCCTTGCTTTCCCAAAAGTTGTTCTCATCCAGGGTGGACTGCAGTTTCAACCTCGAATCGGTCTTATCAACACCCTCAGCGGGATCACCTCTATTGGCAAATTAATATATGGACAAATTAGAAGAGAATTT